CTTCCTTCCACTTCTCTCTCTCCATATTTCCTTCACCTCTTCTCTCTCCATCCTTCCTTCCACCCTCTCTCTCTCCATCTTTCCATCCACTCTTTACGCTCTCCAGTCTTTACCATCACTCTCTTCTCGTCTCCATCTTTCCATGCACTCTCTTCTCTTCTCCATGCTTCCATCACCCTCTTCTCTCTCCAATCTTTCCATACCACTCTCTTCTACTCTCATCTCAATCACCCTCTTTCTCTCCATCTTTTCCATCACTCTTCTCTACTCCATCCTTCATCCACTCTCTTCCTCTCCATCTTTACATCCACTCTCTTCTCTCGTCCATCCTTCCATCCACTCTCTTCTCTCTCCATCCTTCCATCCACTCTCTTCTCTCTCCATCTTTCCATCCACTCTCTTCTCTCTCCATCTTTCCATCCACTCTCTTCTCTCTCCATCTTTCCATCCACTCTCTTCTCTCTCCATCCTTCCATCCACCCTCTTCCTCTCTCATCTTTCCATCCACTCTCTTCTCTCTCCATCTTTCCATCCACTCTCTTCTCTCTCCATCCTTCCATCCACCCTCTTCTCTCTCCATCTTTCCATCTACTCTCTTCTCGCTCCATCTCTCCCTATATGGCTCTATCCCTCCTCCTGTCACTCTCCTCGCACTCGCCAAGCCACTGATGTTCCTTCTTGCATCTCTGTAGGAAGAGGAAGCTCACTTTATGCGCATGGTCAGCATCCTCCACGACCTCCTCATCTGCCAGACAGAGTCAAAGGAGAAGCGAGAGGAGCTAGTCAGGTGAGTGTGTTGCCCTCTGGTGGCAGGTGATGATGCCCCCTGGTGGAGGGCAATGGCGGGGTTATGTATATATTATCAAGAGCGGATAATACCGCTCTATAATATACCGGTATTATCCGCTCTTGATATTATATATAATATACAGATATCTGTCCCTTTCTTCTACACACAGATATCTCCCCCTCCTCTGTCTACACCAGCATACTCCCCCCTTTTCTTCTACACTAAATTATATCTCCATCTGTCTTCTACAATACACAATTATCTCCCCCTTCTCTTCTACATACAATATCTCGCCCTTTCTTCTACATACAGATATCTTCCCCTCTCTTTCTACACACAGCATATCTCCCCTCTCTTCTAATACAGATATCTCCCCATCTCAGTCTACACACAGGTATATCATATCGGCCCTCCTTTTCTACATACAGATATCTCCCACCTCTCTTCTACACACAGATATCTCCCCCTCTCTTCTACACAGCAGATATGCTCCCCCTCTCTTCTACATACAGATATCTCCCCCCTCTTTCTACACACAGGCAATAATCTCGGCCTCTCTTTCTCATCAGGCATATCTCCCCCTCTCGTCTGGGGCACACAGAATATCTTCGCCGCTCTCTTCTACACACATAATCTCCCGCCCTCTCTTTACAACAGCATATTCCCCTCTCTTCTCATACAGCATATCTCCCCTCTTTCTTACAATACAAGATACTCGGCCCCCTCTCTTCTACACACGCACAACCTCAGCGTTGAACGAGAGAGACCTCTCATCTAGACATCACAGAGGGAGAGATACTGACCCCCTGAGAATGACTGCCTAGATCTACATTACAGGTAATCTTCCCGGTCTCTTCCTACACACAGGAGATATGAGATGACCTCCCCCTCTCTTTCTTACACACACGATATTCTCCCCCTCTCTTCTACATACAGGATATTCTCGCCCTTTTTCTTGTTACTTACACACACGATATTTTCTCCCCTCCTGACGATTGGTTCACAGAATTACGAAGGAGTATCTCGCTACGAGATGAGGGATTCAATTACTGGTTACTTACAGACGTAGCACGAAGAGATCGATCCCCCTCTCTACATAACTCTAGGATTAGTGAGAGACTCGCGAGATCTTAGAGAGAGAGCATGAGAGAGAGGCTGATCTGATGTGGAGCACACGATATCTGAGCACGACCGATCGATGAGAGTATTGACTGATGCGACGAAGCTGACAGAGAGATGAGATACTCGGCCGGCGTGAGAGAGCTTAGAGGTGTCTTACCATTGATCACGCCGGACGCTACAATAATATATTTACAATACATATTTCGTTTGCTGTTTTACTTCTGATATGTAGTTTCTAATTGGTAAAACTCAATTCATCACCGTCAATCTTTCGCCATGAGTTACCCCTCTACCCTTTAACTCCTGCCTCAAGGGGTCTGGACAAGGATTATGATTCAGATTTCACCGGACGTGTGTTTGAGTGTCTTCGTCTGCGTTCGCTTGCGTGTCTTGTAGAGAGTTATTTTCTGTTGGCTCGCTGTACTACGTTTCTACATACAGGATATTCTCCCCCTTCTTTTTACGTTTTACTAGACTGATTTTATGATTCGCTTCCATCCGGTCATTGGACTTATTGTCTCCTATACAGGTATTTACTCTTGACGTCACTCGTCGCTCTACGCATCATAAATTGAGGGTCAGGAATTCTTGCGCCTCAACTTGCTATTTCGACTTCAACCATTAATCGTTCGCGTCTTTGGTGCTGATCCATTGGATCACGAAATTTTTCATTCTCCCCTCTCATACTTCAATTTCAGCACTCACAAAATTATTCTTTCCAGGATTTTAGTCGTTCTAGGAAATTTCGTTTTACATACAGATATTCTTCGGCTTAACTTAGAACTTTCATTTTACTTAATTTTGTGTGGTTTGATCTCACGCACGACATCCAATATTCTTCGGCTCTAATCCTCATTTAATTAAATTTAATATTCAATTCAACAGGATATACATTTCTCTTCACCCTTCTCAGTTCACAAGTAATTCTTGTGAGCGATATTCTCGCTTTCTTCATCCACACAATATTTCTTCGCGCTCTCGCGCGGCCTCTTCTTTACTGGTCTTTCCTATGCTGACACTCTCCTGATTGACTTCTATCTGTCTCTAAACCTACTTAATCTCTTTCGTGTCTGTGACCAGTCTTCAACTAGTTGTATTAGTTGAGTCGCCTCACCGCTCCTTTTTTATCACCTCAACTCTGTGACGCCATACATTTTGCATCTCTTCTCTAGCACGAAATATTTCTGTTCTTACATAGATGTCTACATGCAGACAATTTCAGTCGCAAATCTCTCTACTTCTATCTTTCTTGTCTCACTCATGCAACTATCGCTCAAGCGTTGAGTCTTCCTCTCTGCGCGCTTCCGTGCTTTCGTTTCTCCGTATAGTTCATACGCTCCGTCCGTCTCCCGTCTCTTTCTACACTACAGGACTGATTCTCTATACGTTTCTTAACGTTTAACAAGGATTTAGGTCTACGCGTCTACATCTTTCGACTACTATAACACTTCTCAGGGATTATACGTCTCGCTCGTCTCTTCTATTTCTGTACACGCAGATTATTATTCTCCACGGTCTTGTTTCTGTCTCTATAGCGTCCCGAATTAATTTGATACCCGTCCTTTATTTCTGTGGTGAAGCCAACAGCACACATCCGCACTCTCTGTTTACTTTATCCGATATTACTCCACTCATCTCCCCTCGCGCTTAATCATCCATTGGCATGTAGTATTCCTCCCACTACGTCTAATCGTGAGCGAAAACTAGATGGATCCATCTCGTCAGCTCTCTCCTCATGTCTATCACACACGGAATATCTTTCTGCTAACTTCTTACGGTGATATTACGTGTGAAGTGCCATATAAGGCGCAGACTACGGGTTATTCGTCGTAGTTAAAACATATGTAAGGCAGATTATGCAAATATAGTAATGAGGGTTTGCAGAGATATAGTATAGGGAATCAAACCTATATTATATAGACACGCGGAATGTGGATAACAAACGAGCAGTTGCTCTGAGTGGTGTCGACATTGCATCTCCGTCATAGCGCTTCTCTCGTTTTACTCAACAGAGTTCAATCACGTCTATGTGAGAGACAAAGTTATCTTTAAAATATGCAATATATCCTCGCCTCAATGATTATATCTCATATTTATGTCACTATGCAGTTACCTCGAATCTCTCATTAAGTTACTTATTATTATACGATGTATGGCACGCACAGTGAGTCGAGGACCTGGGGAGGGAGGGGGGGGGTTGAGTGAGGTGGTAGTAACTGATTGATTGACATGCTCAGAAACATCGAGAAGTCAAGATGAGATGCCGGAGCCGACGGATGTACTGTGCCTCTTGTGAAGGTTCCGTTTGTAGGGGAGGAGATGGGAGGTTATAACATTATTTGGAATTAAGGTTATTTATCTATATATTATTTATTTATTTTCACATAAAAAATTGACACATATAGTTATCAAGAACTATTATAATAGGAGTTCTCCCATATATACATCTTCGTAATCTATATGTACCGTCAATGTCGTTGCTATATTGTTAAAACTGACTTCTTCTCCAATCACTCATATTTCCTGTCCTTTTTTGTGGTGAGCTACCAGCTGTCATTGACACTTCTTCATATTTATTATTATTATTGATATAATGATTTAGTGCTAAGAAACATCAAAGGGGCTGCTAGCGCCCAGTCTAACCGTCAAAATTGCTGTATTCATTTTGTTTATAAATTATATATAACCAGGCGAGTGAGTAGATAGTGTGAGAACAGTGAGGATTTGTATATATAATTATATAGTTAATAGTAGATCGTGATTGTGATTTACAGTTGTATAAAAAATTAATCACATATAATTTATCGAAGAGTTATAATGGCAGTTTCTCCACGTTATTATATACTTCGTTTCTATTAGGATTGTTAGCGCTCGATAGCGATTGCTCAAATTAAACTGCGCGTTTCTTTCTCACTCACTCATTTGTGTCCTTTTTTGTGGTGAGCTACAGTGGTTTCATTGGACACTTTTCATTTGACTAGTAACAATTTGAACTTTACATTTACATGAACATGATGTGTAGTTTTCGATAGCGTAAAATCGTTTTATTTTTCGCATGCTGATATATATATTAACATATATGCAAGGGGATAGTGAGCGGAGATGAAATTCCAACAGTGATGCGTTGCGCCCGTTTTCTGTCACACCAATGTAAATATCATAAGAAAAGGTTCGCGGTGAACAAAAGAAAACAATACACACAATAACTCGGTGGCAGGATTGTAGTCCGAAACAGATATAGGGAGAGAAAATAAGTTATGCGGAGAGAATAGTGTGGATTACATATCATGATTCACTGGCTATGATAAGTTTGGCTTAAGCCGATCTACTTAGAATGCAACAGACGTGTTTTTTATCATAGGGTAATTTATGCTTAATATTTAGTTGATAGGTTTTCCTGCTCAAAATAGACTCACACGGTGAGTGATGGATCGGACATTTTTGCGTGGAGCGGAATATTTGGTTGCGGGGTATCAACATTTAGTGTGAACATTTTCCTTTGTCTGGCCGTGATAATTGAACCATGAATGTTAATTTAAACTGAAACATATTGTCTAGAAGATTTTTAGGATAGCTTCTTCGGATTCTCCAGTTGCTAACATAAACAAACCCCCAATACATGTATAATATATCCTTGTTTATAGGTTTAATACCCGGCGGACTATTACAAATGTGACTTCAGTACGAGCACGATATGGTGCAAAATGTAATTATCTCTAATAACATAAAACGTTCTTTCTGAAGAATTGACAATGCCTATGTTAGTGCACGTTTGTCACGTTAGGTACTTCCCCATATTAAATTACATGACCGTGAAATAAGGATAGATAAAACGTTAAATTAAATTCACGACAGTTTGCTGTCGATTTAGGTAAACAT